CCCGTGGCCTTGGTGTTATCAGCACCGCACTCTCCCGAGTGAGCCACGGGCCGGCCCAGGACTTATGTTTCTTAAAGTGAGGCCTGGAATGCTGACTTCTGCTGCAGCACACAAGGGAGTGCCAGCCCCTCAGCTGACGGTCACGCTGCTCATCGCCCTGAAAATAGAATTCCAATGAATGCTCTTCTTATGAGCCAATTTTTTCAAGAGTGAAAAATAAAATGAATTAACCCCAGTCTTCCATTACATAAGAACTTTTTTGTTCTCATTTTTTTAAAGCCAGAAACTATGTGCTCTAGGGGAGCATCAAAAATGAGTTTTGTTGCGATGTTTTCTTACCCGGAATCTCAATTCGACTGTCAGGAGGGAGTTTGAACGCCCCTGGCGCGTCTCTCACGGTCAGCATTGGGCTTGACAGTGGGAATATTGAGGGGTGGGGGCAAAAAATTTAAGAAATAATTTTTCTCCAATTTTAAGGCACAAGCCAGGGAATATTTTGGTTGACAGCCATGGGACCTCTGTGGAAATTTTCATTTTAAATGGTTTCTGCCAAAAAAAAGTCACCTTTTATAATTAACCTCTTGTTAATTACAGCACAGAGCAAGTTTGTTAACATTTTCACGGTGAACACTTCCGAAAGGTCAGCAGCACTGAAGGGGGTGTTTCTCAGAATTTGGAAGCAAAATTGAATCTTTTGGTAGGGTTTAAGGCTTCCCACCGAGAGCAGACACATCAGACCCCTTCCCTGATGTTCCTGAGAAAACAGGTTTAAGTCCTCAAGGAGGACTTGCTGAAGTCACACAGTGGTTTTCAAACTTACAGTCGCCTGCCACAGAACTTCCAGGCATCCAGACACAATCTCCCCCAGAGCCTCGGTGTGCAGAGCAGAGCAGAGCAGGTCTGGGTGTAGCAGCAGTATTCTCAGACTGAGAGACTCCCCAGTACTGCCTGCTGCAGGCAAGTGAGCCGGGGCCCAGAAAAGCACCCACTGTGTGCCAGGAGACAGAGTCGCTGTCCTTATGAAGCTTACAAGAATCTAATGTGACATCACCAACTGTTAGGAGGCATGAAGAAGTGTCAAAGGAACAGGAATTATGGGGGCAGCAAGTGGAGCTGTGCAGTGTCCCCTGTGTA